CACATATCAAGAATGTGTTTCTTGGTAGTAAGGGAAGAAGCTGGAATTCGACAACGTCATTGACAAGAATCGTGTTGAAGTTCCCTTCAATTGGAATGGCTTGGATGAACCCTTCWTTGTAACCGCATAGGCCAATTACTGAATATTKTGMAGTAGTAGGGCTTTWACTTCGATATGAAGCTACAGGAAACCCAGATTCTATTCGTCCATAAGCCCGTTGATCAGTTTCACTGTTAAAACTAGTTTCATCAAAGAAGTACATCCTAGAAGGATCGATGGTTGTGCGCCAGCGTATGTAGTCTTGACGTCGCTGCATTACATGGGGGGAGTACCTTTCACGTGCTACATGGATACACTTCTTTCTGGTGATATGAAGCTGCTGAAGTAGTTTAGTTATAGCTGAAGGAGATGGGATGTCATTTGGAAGGAGGTTGAATTCTTCTACCAGTATCTGAATGCATTCTTGGACGTATAAAGAAGGATATATAATTATCAAAGCTTCTATGTAAGAGAGGAATGCGATTTATTCCTCTATTTTCACTAAATAAGTGTGAGCCCAACTTTGCATGTTGTTGAAATTGAGTTACCAACTTTGAAACGAAATTGTAGGATACTTTTTCCCTTCTAGCAGTGGTTGCTATTGAACCARTATTAACATATGTCAATATAACTTGTATTCGCGTTTTCATAGGATAAGGAGCCCCATAGCGAAATGTACCCCCTTTCGCGTTGATTTGCCAGGGCATCGTATCCGAAACAAATCGTACGAGAAAGGTGATTCTATCAGTTCTCAATTGATATACCGTCTAAGCAACRTTATCTAGTCGTGGTAATTAGCACTACTTGTTTCACTGAACTGAGATTGGTTTTCATAAACATCCCATTTAATAACGTAAGTTTTAATGAGACTACACTTTTATTACCCTAACGAGGAAGGAGGAATTAATTTGTTCAAAATGTCCCGCCCACAAGAATAGAAATTAAGATTTTTTGGTCAAAAGCTGAAGATGTCTGGACGGGCTAGAAGCTGCGTTAAATGTAGACTTTATGGTAAAACCAGTTTACTGAAAGGGCATAAAAAGAACTGCCCTTACACTCATTGTAACTGCAACAAATGTGCATCTTATGAGAACCAGAAAGAAACGAGAGAACAATTCTCGAGTACACATTCAAACATTGATACACCCAAGCCAACTGTGTACAAAAGCACATCAACAAATACAGCATTTCCAGAAATGTTCGGTCCACAAGAAGTTCTCGTCCTTGCAAACACCGAAACAGAAATGAAAGAGGTAATGAAAAGCCGCACTGTTGCAGAAAAACGGCAAGGTATGTATTCGAGATATTTCAAACAGTTTATTACTGTGTGTATCTATTGTACTTTCGTTATATTTATTATAATGCACTTCTGCTATAAAATAAACTATATATCTATCTCTATTTCATTTAGAGGAGAGACAAAATGAGAACCAGAAAGAAACGAGAGAACAATTCTCGAGTACACATTCAAACATTGATACACCCAAGCCAACTGTGTACAAAAGCACATCAACAAATACAGCATTTCCAGAAATGTTCGGTCCACAAKAAGTTCTCGTCCTTGCAAACACCGAAACAGAAATGAAAGAGGTAATGAAAAGCYGCACTGTTGCAGAAAAACGGCAAGGTATGTATTCGAGATATTTCAAACAGTTTATTACTGTGTGTATCTATTTTACTTTCGTTATATTTATTATAATGCACTTCTGCTATAAAATAAACTATATATCTATCTCTATTTCATTTAGAGGAGAGACAAAAGAAACTGGATGGGCATAGAGCTTTTTATAGGAGTCTGAATACCATCTCCGTGGATATAATTAAAGTAGAGCCAAATCTGTCGCCTCTTCAGGTGTTGAAAACTTCTTTGCAGCTTCATCAGCAAAGTGTACCAACAGCTGGTTCATYGAAAGACACAGTATTAATGGCAGAGTCTTCACCACGAATTAGTTGTAGCACCACAGAAAGTCCAAACAAGCTCACCGATAACCTGGTCAAATTGAAMGAAATCTTGCCTAATTCAAGCCTCGAGTTTTTGACATCAGTGTTAAAAGAAGCCGGAAATGACTTGGAAACCGCAATTGATAGAATTCTAAATTACGATAGTCAAGTACCTCAAGAAGTAACTCCAGACGTAGAACCACCTACCAGTTCAAGTTTTTTTTCGACGTCCGAACAGCTGGAGCAACAGAAAATAAAAGAACTATTTCAATTAATATCGATAGTCAGAGTCTTAAGAGTATTCTTAAAAATGTGGCCAAGAATCAGGAAAGCCAAAAAAAAAAACAGGGAAAATCGCCCAAGAATATCATCTCCTTTYGCAAAGAAAGTAACAGTACACTACCAACCATACCACACCCAARTGCTCTCCTTTTAAGTGGCATTGGGCAGCGCGCAGAAATTCTGGAACGAMAAAAATTCTGCTCTGGATGTGGCAACGCCACAAAGACGCCTGGAGACAACTGTTGTTCGTTTTGTGGTAAAATCTTATCAAGAAAATATCAAAGGTTATAATCTAATATAATTAGAATGTAAGTCAAGGCGTACAAATATCAGTATAAATAACTAAGAAATATTGTTAATGAAAAACACTTAAAAAGCATCATTTGTTTCATTGGTATTCAGAAATTTGTTTACATATAGAATAATGAACGTTTGATTAAATATGGATTCCGTTCACTTGAAAATAAAGTCGTGCTGTTGTCAAGTCTCTTGTGTATTACTTTTCTGCTTTTCATGAATTGTTCTGGTTCAGTGATATCTACTATTAGTCAGTAAATAGACACTAATAGTTACTGTTTATTTTGATCATATTTCACGGTACAAGTGTGATGACTCTAAAGTTTGTATATCAACAATTAAATACACACAAAGTACTCTTCGTCATAATACCACGGGCTTTAGGAGACTCCTTGTTTCGAGTCGTGAGAAATTCTTGTTCATGGAAAAAAGAACACCCTATTAGAGATGTTTCGCATAAGGACACTTCGTATGCAAATGAGCCACTATTTGTATATAGTTCGATTTCTTTTGTAAATGTAAAGTACACATTACATTTTTATCTTATTTTAAGCTTTATTCGAACGAGTACAACTGGCAGATACGAGGACATGAATGTTATTGACACTTAATTTGATATTNCTGTTATGGGTCCAGTTTTACAAATGTTGGATAGATTATCCACGGGTTGAAGTCATTCACTTAATGGATTTTGTATGAATTTTATCCCCTAGATAAGGAATTATCCCATGGATAGTGCTGTTCACCCTTTTTAACTGGCAAGTGTATTGACTAATGTCAGGATGATAATGACAGATATTACTCACATTGAATGGTTGGTACTCAGACTTTCTTCTTTGAAGCCCATCTCAATTGCAAACCTGGTTGCTGGAGAAGAAAAGTTGCCTCATCAGTATGTCAGTCTCAGAGTATCCTAGCTTATACATGTAAAGTTAATGACACAGTCTTCACAGAACACAACACTGCAAGTGAGGGACTACAGACTGTCCATTTGAACTGATTCATGCACACAATRATCATACTGTATATGCTGGTGTATAACATAACATTTCCACAAATGATTTTGTAGAAGTCAACCCAAAGTATTCTTTTCATTTGAAGTGGAATCCCTTCAAATGTTCTATTGATTAGTTTACTTCTCCATAAAAAGGAGCTAATCAGACCAGGTTTGGATGTAGAYYTTTTGCTGCTTCTAATGTAATTGCTTGCATGTAGTTCATGAGGCGTTTGCAGTGCTGTCTAAATCAATAGCTGACTTTCRAATTTCRCCTCAATAGTCACACACAAAAGAATGAAGATGAGATGCAATGCACACAGCTTAGTCAATGGAAAAAAAACTATGTCTTTTCACAACTGAGTGAGCTTTGTGCATGATGCTTCATCTCAATTGCTTTGTGTGTTACTATTGAGGGGGGATGTGAAATTYGAAAGTCGGCTATTGACATTGGATTACGTTTATTTTACAGTAAATTCAGAGTATGAAATGCTCATAAACTAAACTCAATGTTAGATGTGTTAGATGTGACAATGTGGTAATAGTAATATGGCAAAACAAAAACAAATTACATTGAGCAAATGATACATAAAAAAGTTAGCTTCTTACCATCTTCTCCAACAAGAAATGTTTCTTTGCTGTGTTCCATGACACTTCTAGCTACACTAATAGCACTTTTGACCCTCTTCAAGCAGCCAACWGCTCCCACATCATGAGTCACTCTATAAAGCAACAAGTATCCAGATTGATGATAAAAATATTTAATAAACATTTTTTAGTTATACAACAGACCTTTCTTTTTCATGGTACATGCTTGTTCTCTCTTGAGTAAGTAATGTTTCTCATTCAAGCCAGACATTTACACCACTAAATTTATTTTGTTTTAGATACATTTTGTAAAACTTAGACATGGAGAAAAGGGCTGTAGATTAAATATTATTGATCAAGTGAATTTGATAAAAACCTAAGATACTGATCCCTATTCTTGATTAAACTTTGTAATAATTTCATTTTTTCATTAATGATACCCATCTAAATTATAGACTGATTTCAATAATTTAAAACAATAAAACTCACCCATCCATAATCATTGCATCTAATGTAGTTTCACCATCTTCACTAGGACTGAAATGCAGCAAAATTTAGAAATATTGGGCTTATAATTGCCAATAAGTGTTTTTCAATATTCTAAACCGCTAAGAAATATGATCCTACATTTAGTTTTTTTGGGTACTGCAAAGCTCATGGAGGATTAGGCTCCAAAAGTATGTCAGAAACCTGTACTGRAATTTGAGCTACTTCCACAGAGTTGACAGACTTACATGGATGCCTGCAAGGTGTAGCTGAATGAAGTTTAATTAACTATTGCTGATTGACAAAATCACCAGTTGGTTTTCAATCATCATCAGTATTAAATTTAAAAAGTAATAACATTTTCATGAATACTATAATCAATTTAGTTCTTGTAGTTCAGTTTATCAAAATTCTGAATGGAAAAGGACATGTAATGCAATTACCTTCCTCCATACCCTACTGTACCATCACACTGCTCTACTTCACATGTAGTACATCCAGCTTCCACAGCATCCAGGGATGAAGAACCCTCATTGTTTATGACCTCCCATGCTATGTAGCAACCACAATTATTGTTAAATCGCAAAATATACTTGCTTATA